CTTCTTCCTGTCCCGCAGGCCCGACCAGTCCCCCTCCACTAACACCCTCATCCGCCTAGCTGAACTCGTCCTCACCCTTAACAACTTCTCCTTCAATTTCTCCCACTTCCTACAAACAAAGGGGGTGGCCAAGGGTACCCGCATGGGCCCAAGCTATGCCTGTCTCTTTGTAGGTTACGTGGAACATTCCTCTTTCAAAGCTACACTGGCCCTATCCCCCACCTCTTCCTCCGTTACATCGATGACTGTATTGGCACCACCTCGTGCTCCCACGAGGAGCTTGAACAGTTCATTCACTTCACTAACACCTTCACCCCAACCTTAAGTTCACCTGGACCATCTCTGATACCTCTCTGTCTCCATCTCTGGCATCCACCTGGAAACCGATATCCATTTCAAGCCTACCGACTCCCACAGCTGCCTAGAATACACCTCCTCTCACCCACTTTTCTGCAAAAAGGCCATCCCCCATTCCCAATTCCTTCACCTCCGCCCCCGAGATGAGGCATTCCACTCCCGGACATCCCAGATGTCCTCATTTCTCAAGGACCGCAACTTCCCCTCCACAGTGGTCGAAAATGCCCTTGACTGTGTCTCTCACATTTCCCGCAACTCATCCCTCACACCCCGCAATAACAACCAAAACAGAATCCCCCTCGTCCTTACTCACCACCCCACCAACCTCCGGATCCAACGCATCATCCTCCAACACTTCCGCCATCTGCAATCTGACCCCACTACCAAAGGCATTTTTCCCTCCCCATCCTTGTCTGCTTTCCGAAGGGACGACTCTCTGCGTGACTCCCTTGTCCGCTCCACGCTCCCCACCAGCCCCACCACTCCCGGCACTTTTCCATGCAACCGCAGCAAGTGCTACACCTGCCCCTACACCTCCCCCCTCACCCCCATCCCAGGCCCTAAGAAGACCTTCCACATCAAACAGATGTTCACCTGCACATCTGCTAATGTGGTATCCTGTATCCGCTGTTCCTGTTGTGGCCTCCTCTACATCGGGGAAACCAAGCGGAGGCTTGGGGACCGCTTTGCGGAACACCTACGCTCGGCTCGCAACAAACAACTGCACCTCCCAGTCGTGAACCATTTCGACTCCCCCTCCCATTCCTTGGACGACATGTCCGTCCTGGGCCTCCTGCAGTGCCACAATGATGCCACTCGAAGGCTGCAGGAACAGCATCTCATATTTCGCTTGGGAACCCTGCAGCCCAATGGTATCAATGTAGACTTCATAAGCTTCAAAATCTCCCCTCCCCCGACCGCATCCCAAAACCAGCCC